CTCTCTCCATCTGTGTCTATCCATTCTGTTTCGTCTGTCTCTCTCTCACTCTCTCTCTCTCTCGCCACTCCTACGCTCTCCCATCCCTCCCTCATCTCATTTCACCCCCCCTCCCCCCCTCTTCTACCTGAACCCAAGACTATGATCACAGGCTCAAGGGATCTGCTGCTCCCTCACTTCCCTCCTTTCCTCCTTCTGCTCCTCCTCCTCCTCCTTAATCTCTCTCCTTCTCTCTCTCTCTCCCCTTCCACTCCTGTTCTGTCGCCTGCTCTCCATCCTCTTCTCTCATTTCATATTCATGTTCCTTGTTTGGGATTTTTCACCTTCAGCTACACGCTCAATCATCCTACTCTTCTTCCTCTGAATCCTCCCTTTTAGCTTCTTTCTCCTTATTCCTTCCTTTCTTCACCTTTCCTTCTTCTTATCTTCGTTTGGTATTTCCTTCTCTTCATCCTCGTGTTTCTCTTCTCTCTCTCTCTTCTAACTGTTCACCTTTCTTTTTCTTCCTCTTCTCATATTACTTTCTTTTTCTCTCGCTATATACCATTTCTTTCCCTTCTCATTCCCCTCCTTTATTCCTCGTCTTCCTCCTTTTTCCTCCATCCCTCCAACCCACTTCCTCCTTCTCCTTCTCCATCAATTCCATCTTCCCTTCCTCCTCCACTTCTCCGTTCCTTGATCCCCTCCTCTTCCCCCATTCTCTATCCCTTTTATCCCTATTTCCTTTCCTTTATTCCCCGTCCTCCTCCTCCTCCTCCTTTTCTCCATTCTTCCTCTCGCCCTCCGTCTCTTCCGTCCCTTCGCTATCCTCCCCCTCCCCCTTCCCTATCCCTCCTCTCTCCCAGCCTCCCCCGATCCTTCAGTCCTTCCTCCTCCCAATCCTCTCCTCCTACCCTCTTCCCCCTTCAATTCCTCTCCTCCTTCGTCCTCGTTCTTCTTCATAATCTCCCCCCGCCTATATCCCGCTTCACCCCTCATTTCCCCTTTCGACTCATCCTTTCCCCCATCATCCCCTCCTTTTCATTTCTCCCTCCCCTTCCCCCTTCATCCCCTCCGCCCCATCTTCCCTTCCGAACCTTCTTCCCATCATACACTCCCCCCACTTCCCCCTCCCTTTCTCCTTCTCCCCCCCCCCCCATCATCCCCCTCCGCCCCATCTTCCTTTGCGAACCTTTTCTCATCATCCCCCCTCCATCCTCCCCCATTTCTCCCTTTCCGACACCCCCCCCCCCTTCATCCCCTCCGCCCCCTCCCTTTTCGAACTTCCCCCCTTCATCCCCATCACCCTACCCCCCTCATTCCGATTCCTTCCCCTCATCATCCCCCTCCATCCCTCCCCATTTCTCCCTTCCACCTCTCCCCCCCTCATCCCCTTCCGCCCCATCTCTTTTTTCGAAACCTTCCTCCCCCCCCTATCATCATCCACCCTCCCCCGCCCATCCACCCCCCCCCGCCCATTTCAACGCCCCCATCCTCCATCTTCCCCTTTTCTACTCCTCCCCCTTCCAGCACCCTTTCCCCCCTCCATCATCACCCTCCCCTTTCCCGAATCCTTCCCCTCTCTTATCTTCCCCTCCATTCCTCCCCATTTTCTCCCTCTTCCACCCTCCCCCATCATCCCCTCCGCCCCATATCTTACCTTTTTCGAACTCCCCCCACCCCATTTCTCCCTTCCCCCCTTCCCCCCCTTCTACACCCCCCTCTCCACCCCATATCTTCCCTTTTCGAACCTTCCCTTACCCTCCCATACCACATCTCCCATCCCCCTCCACCCCCCCTCCCCATTTTTCTCTCCCCCGCCCATTCATCCCCCCCGCCTCCATCTTCCCATTTTCTCCCTTCCACCCTTCCCCCCCATCATCCCCTTACGCCCTCAATCTTACCTTTTCGACCCTTTCCTCCACCCCCCCATCATCCATTTCCATCCCACCCCCCTCACCCAATTCATCCATTCATCCCCCCGCCTCCATCTTCCCATTTCTCCCTTCCACCCTTCCCCCCATCATCACCCCCCCCCTCCCCCACTTACCCCCATTTCCCAGGACCGGATCCAGAGTGAGAAAAGTCCGCAGTAATTAATGGTCCGGTTCTTGTGGGATGAACGGACTCGAGATCCCTTTAAATTAGTCCGCTTCGGCCATTAATATAAACTCGTATAAGAAACTACAAGAACTTCTCACTCTTTCTCGACTGGGAAATAGTGAGAGTTCGGTGTTGTTGATCTGTTTAAATTTATTGTTGATTTTTTTTTCTTTGTTGTTGTTGTTATTTCGTCTTTATTACTACTACTACTATTATCGTTATTGCTATTAGTTGTATTACTCCTGCTTCTGCTGGTGCTGCCCTTTTGATTAATATTATAATTGATTAATATTATAATCGTTCTTGTTGTTATTGCTGTCGTTGTCGTTGTTTTTTATTGTTATTATTGTTATTGTTATCTTTATTATTGTAATAGTTGTTATTATTGTTATTATCGTTATTATCATTTTCATTGCCATTATTATTACTGATACCATTATCATTATTGATATCTTTATCATTACCATTATTATTCTTATTGTAATAATCATCATCATTATTACGAATATCATTGTTTTATTACTGCTAGTAGTATGGTTATAATGATGATAATGATATTTGTTATCCTCATAATTATTGTTTTGTGATTTTTATAACTTTTGTCATTATGCTTATCATTGTCATAATCATCATTATCATTGTTATTGATTTGCCATTATTATTTTCATTACTAGTATTATCATTATTGCCAATATCATAATCATTAGTATCATCTATATCATCATTATTCCCAATTTCGTTATTACGATCATTATTCATTTTATCTTTATCATTATTACTATCATTATCATCTTTATCATTACTATTACTATCATCTTTATCATCTTATCATTACAATTACTATTATCATCAATATCATTTTCTCATCATCATCATCATCATCATCATCATAACCAAGTATCATTTTAAATTCCGTCTAACAATCTCCTTTTTATATTTATATGTATCTCTCTCTGCCAATTCGTCCCATAACCTCTCATCCTCTTCCTAAAGCCCATTATGAATGTCATTATTATTTATCCTCCTCATCATTTAATTCCATTTTTCCTGCTTTTAGAAAGGTGAGTTTTTTTTCTTTTCTTGAAATGAAGGGGAGGAAATTCTCAAAATGAATGGAGGACTTAATTACCGTTAACTGTCGAGCGTCGTCCAAAGGCTGGCTGCCCTGACGTAGCGGTTCTCTCTGTGTGTTTTGTTTGTGTTAGTTTGTTTGTGTTTTTTTTGTTTGGTTTGTTTTGGTTTGTGTCTTTTTTGTTTGTTTGTTTTTGGTTTTGTTTTTGTTTGTTTGTGTTTTTCGTTTGTTTGTTTTGTTTGTTTTATGTTTGTTTTTTCGTTTGTGTTTTTTTGTTTGTGTCTTTTGTTTGTTTGTTTGTTTGCTTAGTTTTTATGTTCTTTCGTTTGTTTGTGTCTTTCTTGTGTTGTTTGTGTTTTTCTTTTTTTTTTTGTTTTTGTTTTTTTCGTGCTTGTTTGTTTGTGTCTTTTTCGTTTGTTTGTGTGTGTCTTTTTCGTTTGTTTGTGCATTTTTTATTCTTATTTGTTGTCTTTTTTCGTTTGTGTGTGCCTTTTTGTTTGTTTGTTTGTGTTTGTGTTGTTTACTCATTTGTTTGTAAGGGTGTTTTTTTTTTGCTTATTTGTTTGCAGGTGTTTGATCGTGTGTTTGTTTTCGTGTTATTCGTTCGAATGTTTGTGTCTTTCTTCGTTTGTTTATGCATGAGTGTTGTTTTCTGTTATTCATTTTTGCATTCCATTTTGACATTGTGTGTTTGTTAGTTTGTTCGTTTGTTTGTGTATGAGTCGGTGTATCGTCAGTGTCTGTTGTCAGTCCATGTAAACGTATGTCTGTATACTCACGAGTGTACACAATCGAGTGTTTCTATGCGTGTACATGTAAATTCAATCGCCAATTATAGTACAGCAATTTGTAATTAATAAAAGTGAAGGGTTTGCAATTACAACCGCTAATTAAGAGCCTTTGAGCTCGCCATCGGCTCAGAGATCACCCGTCTCCCACAGACTATGAACGCTGCAAATTTGTAAAGTATTCCGCAGTATGTAGTTTTGCTTCATCTGTTTATATCTATATCATAATCTGGGATTTCATCTTTTATTTTCTATAGCTAATAGGCAGAGAGAGATTTCTTATCTTTATTTTTTCTCATTATTAGCTATATATCTATTGATCTATTGTCTTTTATTTTTTCTTCTTATTAGCTATATATCTGTTGATCTATTTCTGTGAGTATTATAAGTTGGATTGTGTTTGGAAGATTCGTCATGTGATGTTATCTAGATAGATATGTTTTTCAATGTAAATTTCATCTATTATCGATGTTTTCCTTCTCTGTCTCTTTTTTTACTGTTATTTAAGCGCCTAATTTCTTCTTACCTCGTATTAACTTGCTATTTAAATTCATTTTTCATATTTTTACATGTTTTTATTTTCCCATTTTTCTTATATATACCTACATATACAGTGCATACATAAATGTACAAAAACACATACACACACATAAATATACACATGCATGCACATAATACAAAAATGATACAAAGATTGACATTTAGATAAAAAGAAGGACTTGAATAGCTTGTTTTAGATCTATATTGTGAAAGGGGGATTATCTCTATACAGTAACGCCTCATAGAGCGATAAGAGATTAGCAAATAATTCAACACGTATTTACAGTAGCCAAAATATCCCATACAAATAACACGATCCCTTTATCACGATTCAACCCACGTACCTCGCCAAAATACAAAACATAATTCACGGGACTACATAAAAGTACAGTAGTTTCTCTCCCTCTCGCAAAGGACAGAAGACCCCCTTCCTGCGTCCGTTCGCTTCGGAGGTGAAAGCCTCGCTTCTGTATTCCTGTCACGACTCGCTGACTGGCTAGGAAACAGAGGCCAGGTCATCAGTTCTCTCGCAGGAACTTCTGCCGAGGAGGTCCCGGGGTGGTGAGGTCCCCGTTAGGGTGGTGGAGTCCCGTGTGGTGGAGGTCGGAGGTCCGGGTGGTGGAGGTCCCGTGGTGGTGGAGGTCCCGTGGTGGTGGAGGTCCCGGGGTGGTGGAAGTCCCGTGGGTGGTGGATGGTCCCGTGGTGGTGGAGGTCCCGTGGTGGTGGAGGTCCCGTGGTGGTGGAGGTCCCCTGGTGGTGGAGTTCCCGTGGGTGGTGTGAGGTCCCGGGGTGGTGGTGGTGGAGGTCCCGTGGTGGTGGAGGTCCCGGTGGTGGTGGAGTCCCGTGGTGGTGGAGGTCCCGTGGTGTGAGATTTTCATTTCGAGGTCGAGTCCCGTGGTGGTGGAGGTTTCCCGTGAGTCGGTGAGGTCCCGGCGCTGGGTGGACGGTTCCCGTGGTGGTGGAAGGGCTTTTCCCAGTGGTTGTAGGAGGCCGTGGTTGGTGAAGCGGGTCCCGGGCGTGGTGGAGGTCCGCCTGGTGGTGGGGTCCCGTGGTGGTGGGAGTCCCGTGGATGGTGGTGGGTGGTGGATCCCGGGGATGGTGGAGGTCACTTGACTGTGGTGGAGGTCCGGCGGTGGTGGCAAGTCCCTGTGGTGGAGGTCCCCGTGAGAGAGCGATCAAGTGCGGACTTCCGGTCTCCACTGGTATGTATCTGGCCAGATGGTGGGAAGGGTCCCGTGGCGTGATGGACGGCTCCGTGTGGGGATCGGTCCGTGGTGGGGGAGGTCGCGTGTGGTGGGGGTTCCCGTGGTGGTGGGGTCCCGGGCGTGGTGGAGGTGCGACGGCGGTTGGTGCGGAGGTCCGCGGGTTCCAGCTCGCTTGGAGGTTCCCTGGCGAGAATTTCGTGTACCGTGTGAAATCAGGTACGGACGTATCCCGTCCTGTGGTCGGAAGGTGTGTGGCGTCCCGCGTTCTTCAAGCTGTTCACTCGGACCTGTGCGCTGTACTGGTCCGTGTCGTGCGGTTGTGCCAGTTCTCCCGCCGGGGTGGTGGAGGCTCTCGTGTGGGGTGGCAGTTGCTGCACCACTGTGGGTGTTGGAGGTCTCTGTGGTGGTGGGTATCCGGTCCCGTGGTGGTGGAGGTCCTCGTCGCGCTGGTGAAGTGAGGTCCCGTTTTTCGTTGGTGGCGGTTCCGTCTGTCGGGTAAATCTTATTTTGTGAATGCGGGATCCCCACGCGGGTGGTGGAGCGTCTCGGGTGTGCGAGGATCCCTGTGGTGGTGGATGGATACCAGGTCGGATGTGGAAAAAGGGAGTTCCCCGCATTACTTGGTGTGAAGGTTCCCGTAATCATATTCAACACAAGAGAGGTGGTGGAAAGGAGTACACGGTAAAAAATAGGGTGTGGAGAGGTCCCACGTAGAGTAGTGAGGTTCCACAGATAGAGTTAAGTGAAGCGAGAGGAGTCCCCAGTGGATAGGTGAGCGTCTCCGTGGTAGGTGGAGAAACGGTCCCGTAGGTGGTGGACGGTCCCGTACAACATTTCTGGTGGTGGAGTCCAGTTCGGTGGTGAGGTTTGGTCCTCGTGGTGGTGAGGATTAGGCTATCCACGGGGAATAGATGTATCGTTCTCCCTCTGAGACTTTCTGTGGTGTGTTATCCAAGGATCCCGGGAGTGGTTGGCAAGGTCCCGAGTGGTGTGGTTGGAGTCCGTTGGGGGGGGGGGCGTCCCGGACGTGGTGGAGGTCCCGTGGTGGTGGATCCCGGGGTGGTAGGAAAGTGCTGTCCGTGGTGGTGGAGGTCCGTGGTGGGCTGAGGCGGTCTCGTACGTGTGGCTTCGCATCATCACGGTCCCGTGGTGGTAGAGGTCCCTGTCGGTGGTGTGTCAGCTCGGTCACCCGGGGCACCGGTGGTGGAGGTCCGTGGTCGGTGGAGGTCCCGCTCGGTGGTGGAGGTCTCGTCGGTCGGTGGAGGTCCCGTGTGGAGGTCCCCCCCTCCGTTTGGTGGTGGGAGGTTCTTCCCGCTGCTGGTCGGACGGTCCCGTGGTCGGTGCGGTCCCGTGTGTGGAGGTGTTCCGGGTGGTCAACCGGTCCCCGTGTGGTGGAGGTCCGTGGACCTGGTGGCAAGGTCCGTGGTGGAGGGGGGGTCCACGGTCCCGAGCGGTACCGGTTTTGCAGGTCCCGGTGTGGTCGGTAGACCAT